TTTTTTTATTATTATTTTCTGGATTCAGCGAACCCCGCTGTTAACTATTCCATGCACAGCAGGGACTACTGTACTGTTACCCTGAGAATTAGACTTTATATAAAGGTGATGCAGATACAGTGATAAACATCCTTAGATGTGAAATCATGCAGGAATACTGGGACAGGTCCTAAACTTTCCAAAGTTTTAGTCTGGTGTCATGACAAGAACACTACACAATACACTCTTTTGTGACTACTAGTTGTCATCATATTTTATGTCACATCAGAAGATATCCTCATATTCAATACTTATGCCTTCAACTCACTGCTCAGCTGAAACATTTTGTTCTGAGCTCAAAAGGTGACAGTACCATGGAACAAAGAGCAGTTACATCCAGGGTTGCAGAATCTCCCTGGGGAAGACGATTCCCTGCTCAGTTTCTTGGGTCACTCACTGCTGCACGGTCCTTCCTGAATTACTGCAGCTAATGCTATCTCAAAAGGAAGACAAACTTATGTGAAGCCATCACTACCTTCCTTCGGACTTTTCCTGAAGATCTTAAGCGTTGCCAATTCCTTAAGATTCTCCACAAGTTTGGAGCACGGCTGCAGCTGACAACAAAAGCTTCAGCTTTCTGGTGAATTACAACCAATCTGAAAGCAAGCTGTCTGGACCTCTGTGCTCACCTCATGAAGAAGACCAGCAGATCAGAACTGGTGCAGGTATCAGGGAGATCTCAACCCTCTCCAGAGCTGGATCCTAAAGTTAACATCATTAAGAGAAGAGAGTGGGAGCAGGAAAAGTAGTTGCTGCCAGTCTTCTGCTTCTCCCCCTTCTCTTTGCTTTTGATACAATGCTGGCCCTGGCAGAGCAGAGGAGGACTCTGCTGTACATACTTCTTCCTGGCACAGGAGAAGAGTTGGAGCACACAGAGGAAACACAAGGGGAACAGAGCTGATTTTGTCCCAGGAGTGGTGAGAGAACTCACGTGGGAGCAAGACTGATTAGGCAGAAGCAAGACCAGGAGAAAGGATGAGAAAGAAATGCTTTATGAAGAAGAAATGATGAAAGATTGTTTTATTTGCTGGGAAAGGAGTTGGAGACATGTGGGGAATGTGCTGCAGGAATTAACGTGACCTTAATATATTTGGGAACACTGGCAGCACCATTTCTTTGTCTCTCTCACACAAACACACATTGACACAATGCTGTGCACTGCCATAACAGTTCAAAATTCAAAGGGCAGACATTAACAAGCATGAATCAGGATTTTTGATTCAAAAATCTGGGCTGGAAAGTGCTCTAAGACTTCAAAAGTCCTCTCATCCAAATTGTTATGATCCTTATTAAGATCTGAGATGGGGCATTATTTTGGGTGCAACCAAACTGGTTATATTCCATTAAAGTCCTGACTTACTTTCATTGCTTATTAAGGAGCAATTTTCCCTTATTTTGAAGGGCATAACTAATTAAACTCCTTACTGTGCTTTGTTGACAGTAGAACTATGTAAAGCCAAGATACTAAGCATTGTCTATGATAATTCCAGTACATCAAGCAGCCGGTATAGAGTAATAGCAATTATGGTACAATCATGACTTTTTAATCGGTAGCTATCCAAATTAGGTTAATCCTAATTCTTAATTATAATGAAAATTCCCTCAATTACCCATTCTTCGTTTATCATAGCCAGCTGGGCAAATGCTGCCTCACTGTATTTCTGCTTACCTCAACTCATCTTTTCTTTCTGATCTTACCCTTACTGTGTGCCTCCTTGTTCAGTTTCCACATCTGTCTTCTTCAGTTTTGCCTCCACTGGCAGATTTGTGTAACCCCGACTTTATGCATTGGGCCCTTCTATTCACTCAGCCACATGGCTGGCTGAAGCCTTTCCATAATCACTGACTAAATACAGACAGATTCATTTATTTAAGAGAATGGTTTTCAAAGGCATTACCAAAAAGAAATGTATGAACCTAACCTGGTTTGATAAGTAGGCTTCTTAGGAATGAGTAGCAAGCTCCACGGGCTTCTCTCCTTCTTCACATTTTCTGTCGTACTATTTTCCCTCCCCTTCTGTCTTCACCTGTTATAGCTTGCTTTGGTAAGCATGCTGTTGTTTTAAATTAGAGATTTTTGGAAACGTGTGTCACTCAAGAACTAAATCTTATGTTCCAGTGAGTTTAAGTCAGCAGCAGGGAAGAAACAGGTTACATATTACCATAAAAAATAAAACCGTTTCAAAGCCTCTCTAATTTACACTGCATTGTTTCTGTCCTAAGAGGTAGCTCCAACACCTAGACTCGAGCACTATGGAACTATCAATTTTTACTAGGAATGTCTTCTTGCACAACTTCCCTTGAAAATAAAGGTACCTTAGCTCTAAACTTGAAAAGGAGTAAGAGGTTTTGGAGACCATATCTGTACATATACTAACATCTGTAGCTTTAGAATACCCTTTGAAACCATGTTCAGCGTTGAAGATCTTAAAATAGTTTTCACGTGTTTTCTTAAAGTTCATTTTGCCCTATTATTATATGCATAGTTTCTGAATGCCACATTGCTACTGTCTCCTCCAACAACAGTGACAGCTTTTCAGTGGCTCTTACTGCAATATGCACTGACCTCGGAGGTGCCAGAGATACTCTCTACCTGCTTAGTGCTAGCTTAAAATATGTATACCAGTGTATCTTGGAAAAAAAAAAAAAAACAAACAAAACCCAAACCAGCTGTTTGAATCTCAGTCCTGAGAGATGAGAATTTTTAAGGGTATAGATATTGTTCCATTGCAATCACTTATCTTTCTGAGAAACTTTTGAATCCTTGCCCAGAACTGCGCAGCATGACAGATAGTTGCCTAGATGTTCAGACTCAACACCATTTCAAGTTTCCACATACTTATATGAGATATAAAAAAAAGAAGAAACCTTCCAAAACCAAATAGGTGCTCAATAGCAATCAGAAAAATTATCTGTCCTGATGCTACCCCACACACAGGCAGGACTACTAGAAGGGGTGACACAACCAAGTATGCAGTTCCTTAAGCCATAGCATAACAGGACTGAAAAAGACCATTTTTTTGCAATCCCCCCTTCCATCAGCCAGAATATTTACTTACAGTCAGCAGGCTCATATTACAAGACCTAATTACATCAAAATTTTGCCCTGATTCAATTGGTAAGTAGCCACCTGTACCTATGTAAGCCTCTAATTTAGAAAGGGTAAACAAAGTGAGGTTTGCCTTACCTGAAGTGTGTCAGAGTTGAAGCGTTAAATCCTTTTGCTGGAACCTGTAGGCAGATATATAGCTGTGACAGGATGCTATAAAGAAGCTGAAAAGTTGAACATTATTGCACATTTTTGGAATGGCACAATGCTGTCCAAACATCTGGAGGAGACACCCCACCCCACCAACTAATTGTATCTGCTCTCTACCACCCTTCGTATAAAGCTGTTCTCTGATTGTGAGATAAAAATAATTAGTGTCTATGAATATCCCAGTGCAATGAAACCTAAATCTTGTTTTCCTGCACAGATAAAAGAAAATTCTGTAAGTTTTTACGAAAAATGTACATAAATAGACTATCCCATTTAGCTCACTCAGACTGGAAAGATCCATTTCTTCTCTGGGAAGAATCAAGTCTATCAGGCCTGCTGAGAATGCAACCTGAATGTTCCTGGAGAGAGTTTGGAGGGATTAGCAGGCTGTGGACTATGGACTATAAGGAGGAGGATGGCTTGACCTTGAAATGTAGAATCACAGAATGGCTAAAGTTGGAAAGGACCCCTAGAAGTCATCTGGGCAAACTCCCCTACTCAAGCAGGGTCACCTAGAGACAGCTGCCCAGGACTGTATCAAAATGGCTTTTGAATATCTCCAAGGATGGAGACTCCACCACCTCTCTGTAGAACCTGTGCCAGTGCTTGGTCATCCTCATAGTAAAAATGTGTTTCCTGGTGTTTAGGAGGAACCTCTTGCGTTTCAGTTTGTGGCGATTGTCTCTTGTCATGTCACAGGGCACCACTAAAAAGAACCTAGTGACATCCTCTTTACACTTCCCATGCAGGTATTTATATACATCGACGAGAACTTCTGGAGCCTTCTTTTCTCTAAACTGAACAGTCACAGCTCTAATCTGAGCTGGGATATCAGTTGTAAAATAAGATCTCATCAACCAAGCAGTGTGAGGAAAAAAAAAAAAAGGACATGCTGGATTTTTTCTTTGATTCAGAGACCATCATGGGAAAAGGACATTTCTGTTCTAATCCAGGGAACTTAAAATACTGTAGTCAACTAGACTGTTAAAAACTGTGCAGTTCTGAGCAGTCTGTACTATGTTGCTGTAACATCTTATTACATATTTCTGGACATGTCTCTCCCCAAGGGGTAAACATCTTTTTTGGACTAGCTGAAAGAGCCAACATGAGAAATACTGAGACTGAAGCCAGGACTTGTCTTTGGAGTAGGGGAGCTAGAGAGGCCTATTTTCTTGCTTTAAGGGATTGATTTCCTGGGAAACTGTATAAAGGTCAGAAGAACATTATGCTCTATGTGATTGTGAAAAAGGCTCTGGACACTGATGTTACATAAATATTTACAACTACCATTACTAACCAAACCTGTTTTCAGCCCCTGCTCCTCCCAAGGAAGAAAACAAATAGGGAAGAACAGACTTGGGAAGAACAATAGCAGTGAAAGTCTAACCTGAAATCACTAATGGAAGCTGCACACTTACTAAAAAAATAAAAATCAAGGAGCATCTGTAATTTTCCAATGCAGATTACAGAAGACTGCAAGTCAGCTCTGACAAGAATGATAACAGCACCATGCTTTTGTTTTCTTTATTTTACCCTTGAGCAGATAACCTTTCATGTTTTGGTAGAATAGACACATCGGTGATGATGTTTTTGTGATGTTGCAAAACTCTACTTTCTTCTCACCCCTCTGGGAACAAATTCGTCCATGTTATTTAACCACAACACAGCTTTATAAAGAACAGAAAGACTAGTGGCACAGCAGTTTGTGGGCACTCAGATGCAATAGGATCTATTGTCTTTATTAAAAGTTAGCTGAGGAACTGTCAAAAAAAGGGTATTTGTAAGTGACAACATGCTGACTTGGCATCAGAGAACTCAGGCAGAGATGGTATTTGACTCACTTATTTCGTATTTTTTCATGTGATCCAGGACCCAAGCAGGTAACTTGGCAGCTCCAGAGTTACATCTGGCTTGCAAGCAGTTCAGATGTGCCTCCTGTAAAGTATGTTGTGTCAGACAGTTTGTAGCAGGACAGTGCTGGTGGGGAGCTGCTGGGTAGTACAACAGCACAGCTGCGGAAGGAAGCGAATCAGCAAGGGCTGCAGGGGCAGATACTGAGTCACCTTGAGACCCAGACACATGCTTAGGTTTGTGGCTGAACCCTGACATACAGCGGAAGCACTGAGATTCACGAAGAATTACTATTTGTTCCCTTTTTCAGGACTACTCCTAGAGTTCCTCTTCCTTTTAGCTCTCAGAAGCATGTAATAGCTGTCCTAGGGCATGTGACTGCACTTCAGTGGGATCAGGGTGCCCAAACATCTAAGGCACTTTTGAAAACCTTATCCACAAACTACAAATACATAGAAATATGAATTCGATGCAATTAAAATAGAATACATTCAAATTGAAAAGAAGAAACTCTTCTCAAGCTAGACCTTCTCAAAGAGCAGAGCTAGTAGAAATCCCCAGAGCCCGTGACATTTCAAGTTAAAGTTGAAATAGATTTAGCATAGTCATTACCATGATTTGACAGTAGAAACTCCTACTACCGTCTGTGCATCCAGATTTTATGATAGTTATATTTACTAAGTTTTGCACCTGAAAGAAGGTGCAAAGGATATGCATAAAAGGGTACCACATTTTGTGCTGTGGAACTGTGATTCACTTAGGTTTAAAGAAAAACACTTTGGCCTTATTGTAGGCCAGCCTATTATGAACATTAGTAGAACCTACATTATGTATCCATCAGTGAAAATAAACAAGACAAAACATAGAAGAAACAGAAAAGTTTATGCTAAAGGCTCTTAAAGAAATTACCCAATGATCAAAAAATTGAAGTATAATTATTTTGCATCAGTTTCCCAACTATGACCTGAGATTTCCATTACCTCCCTTTATCTCTGCTGCCCACTGAAATGGTATTTCGGGTAACATCTGTTAGCATGGAGTTGGCAAAAGGTTGATGATCAAAAGGCTGACAATCTCATCCAGCAGATCCTTTCCTGCATTTTCTCCCGTAATCAGCTCTACCACATATAAACACTCAGACTGGCCTACTCTGGAAATCCTTTTTTCACAATACATGTTCCAGAAGACTGTAAACTTTTCACTCACTGCATTTCTGTGAATCCAGCTATGGACATTTCTAATTCCAGAGTTCCATACTCCAACAGATTGCATTTTCAGTTTTTTTTCTCCACCATCCATGTGGAATTTTGGTTCAAGGTAGAAGCTGAAGGCTTACCCAAATGCTTTGTTCTGGGTTACTACTATGGTCAAGTTTTCAAAGTTAATGCTCTAGAATGCAAGCAGCACAAGAGGAATAAGAAAATGAGAAGATTAGATATGGGTATACAAATGGCAGCAAGCATTAGACTCTGTTAGGCCTTTATAAATGGCATAATTAATCAAAAGGTCTGAGAATTTAATGGAATTAAAAAACCAGTTCTGTTTCATGGTTGACACAAAGGCCAAATAAGCAGGTCTGGCATTCCATGGATCAAAAGATAGTTGTAGCTAACATCTTTTATATAAGCACAACAGATGCCATTTACTTATGACATGAGAAGGTCATCAGAATAGCATCTTGTGATTACAGTTGAAGATATTTCAGTCCGTTTCTAGATGGAAGTAACCCTTGTTAACACTGGCCACAGGATAATGTTGGAACCACTGGCACTTAAAACTGTATCTAGTCTTCCCTTTCTGGCTTCCAAGATGTGACAAAATAAAAATCTATCCAAATGAACTGTCACATTGAGTTGATGACATTTGGTCTATATAATACTTTATAAAGGATGAATCCATGTAAGTTCTGACGTAAGGAATAGCCTAACTACCTTGCCTCTTTTTAATATTAGTAGACTTCTGATGTTGAAATTTCTTTTAAAAAAATTGAATGACCTGTTTCCATTAGACACTTCTACAAGCTCTGCCACATTGCCTTCCATATACTAATGATCAGAGTGCAGAAGCACGTTACCACCTTTGGCAAGTACAAGCATATAGATGATGGAGCACATCTGTGGTAACTGCCAGGTGGCTTTAAATAGTGCTTTTTATTAAGTCTTTTAGCAACATGTAATTTGTGGTATCTGCATTAAATGGCACTTGCTTTTCCAGTTGTGGTATCTGCAAAGTGCCATACATACAGTTAGAAGCCACAAGAACTTTGCATGCAAAGAAAAGAACAACAGCTAGTGTTGCGTACAGATGTCAAAGTTTACCTCCTATATTGAGGTGGGAGGGTAGGTAATATCTCTGTAAATCTACTGTTGGCTAAGAGCCCAGCTGGTAATTCTTGGTGATGCTGCAAATGAAACGTTTTGTTGTCATTGCTCAATTTGGAGTAGAAGCATTTCAAGCTCAATAAGCAAGACTGCACCCCACGTGACTGTCAGGGCAGCTCCATTCCCGATTTTTAAGTGGTGTGTCTCTGGTGCACTAAAATGTAAGAGACACCAAGGGTATGTTTCTTCCCTAGGGTGCTTCTGTAGGAGCTGTGTAGGTGTGAGATTCATCTGGTCCTTTTGTTTTTGTGTCTTTGTCATTGCAGATCTCCACATCGTGAAGTCCTGTCATACCATTTCTGTTGCCATCCATTAAGTCTTCTGCAATCTCTGTGCTGCTCTTGTTGCACTGACAGAAGTCACTGGAGCTCTCTAGAAAGTTGATGCAAAATTTGATAACAAGTGCTAGCCAGGCCATCCCAAACAGGATCCACAGAGAGATTACATTCTTGTACCAGCCTGGATAGGTGCGGTCTGGGTTCATCCCTACAAGAGAATCACCCAAAACATTTCTAGATTGTATTAAGAGTGCCTCAAAGGAGACATTACATGTAAAGCAAAGACAGTGGAAATATGACCTAATATCAGTGACTTCTATGTAGAAGAAATATGCCATCTAATTAGCACACAAACAGATGTTGTCATGAAACATACTTGCTTACATGCCAACAACATGGAATTATAAGGATTCCTAGGAATTATAAAGATTACCCATAAGAAAAAAAAAATCCCAAATTACATCTCTGTCAAAGTGAAACTATTGTCATTTAAGCACACAGTTTAGTTTCTCTACTTACCACTCAGCATCACAATATTGTATTAGTATGTAACAGGGGTTCTCTGCAGGCAGAGAGGTAGTCTTTGTGTCTCCCAGATATTTGAGGGTGCATGTGTTTCTACAATCAATTTGTTTTTAATGAGAAAAATCTTTATCAAAAAGGTGTGTCCTGTGTTTCAGCAAGCACATTGGGCACAGGTCCAAACCCATTTCCTCTGGCAAAGGGTTTTGGCAACCAAAACTAGGCTGTGCCTGGTGCCTGACAGTCTACACCTAAGTGACTTAAGCTGCCTTTTAGAAAGCAGTTGTCTGGGGTTTTGACAGAGGAAATGGTCACTGTCTGTTGATGGTGATGCAGAGTAGCATCTGCTTAAAACTAATTGCTGTCGAGGCACTGGAGCACACCAAATGCACCATCAGCAACTGCTATGATTAAAAACATGCACTCCAGTCTGGTGTTGTAGTCACTGAAGGGACAGATGACCTGAATGCTGAAAGATTACTCATTGACTGGAAATATTATTTCTTTGCTCTTTCACAGGTTGCATTGCTATCTCAGAAATCATGTCTTCTCCAACCTGTCAAATGCCTGCCACAACATATTTATTGTCAGGTCTGTGGATCACTAGTGGTGTAGAACTGCCAAGTCGGAAGCTTCATATGCCACACATTTAGCTTTGATGTTTAGTAGGTGAAAGCAACGAAATGTGAACTACTCACCAATCACATAATCTCCAAACCCTATGGTGCTGAGGGTAATGAAAGAATAGTAGAAGCCCTCTTCATAAGACCAGCCTTCTTTGTCAGAGAACAACAAGGGAGGTAGCAGGAGGAACAATAACAAGCCAGTTACCAGTGCACAGGTCTTAATAAGGAGAGAAGCTTTCTTCTAGTAGAACAGGAAAAGAAAAACAAAGATACTGTCACAAGATGAGGAACAGGGAAAGTCCAGATCAGTTCCTGATTGAAGATGATGCTGGACTCCATAAAAACACACAAACATTCAGGACATTCCAGTAGAATAAATAGTGTGGCTCTCCCAGTCAACATGAACTGGGCATCACCCTCATGAGTCCTAAATTCATAACAGTCTAAAGCCTATTCCACAATTGTTCCCATGTAACTTACACATGTAATTTAACTATGGCTGATGATAAACAGACCAGATATCCTAGGACTGTGTATGGCTCTAAGGCTCTGGCACTTCTGTTGCTGTAGGGGGGAAGCCATTCATCACAGAAGTTCCCTCAATTAATAAACAACCTTATCTGACACCTCATAGGGCTGTCATAAATGAAATTTATTTACTTCCAGTTATTCCGGAGTATTATTGCCTTTTTGGCCAAATAGGTAGGCAGGCTGTCCTTGTTAGTCAGAGATCCCAAATACCAGACAATGCTCTCTGTCTTTTCCTCCCTGAACTTGAGGGTGAGGCATATCCATCCACATTGCTTACCTGCCAGTGAAATACCGCCTCTAGGCGATGGGCACAGTGCTGAACCCCCAACAGCATCAGCTGCCCAATTTCATTCAGGAGCACAAGGTTCAAGGGGATCCCAAAGAGTGCAAACAAGATGCAGAAAATTCGACCAGCCGCAGTGCTGGGGCTCAAGTTCCCATAGCCTAGGCAGGGAAGGAATAGGGTGTTAAATCTAACATATTCTCTGTTTGCCCTCCTCCCCTGGAGGAGTGACCCTCCATCTTCTAGAAAAGTTAGACGAGAAGGTCACTGCTCCAAAAGGACCTTTTTTATAAATAACTAAGTTACATGTATTGTTTGTCATATCCTATCGTAGGTTGGAAAATAACAGTTATTTCCCTACCAATTTTGTTTAGTGCCTTTTCTATTTACCAATGAATTTCCTCTCCCCTACCCACTGTCCTGGCTGGGATCTGACATAAATGCAAAACTTACGTTTAGTTCAGTTCCTGTAAGCATTGTTGACATGGGGTTTGCTGGTAAATGATACTGCCTGGCTGTCAGATGGTCTCTGAATCACAACAATTGTGTTTTAATTATAACCACCACCTTCTTCTACCTTTGTCCCACAGGACTAGTGAACTTAACACTGCCTCCTTGCTTATATTCCTCTTTTGCGCCACAAGTACTAAATATACCTTAAGCTTAAATTGTCAAAGTATTTGCCTAGAGTCAATAAACTTGGAGAAATTATATTTAACCTGAGTAAAATACTTCAATTGCAGACCTAAAGAAAAAAAAGTGTTTGAAACGTTGCCTTTTTCTTCTACCGACACAAGCTGGTCTAATAAAAGGTACTGCCCTACAAGCACATCCTTGCTTACCTTAGACTATGGCTTCAATGTCACTGCTGCAATTTTTGTCTCTATTCCCCACATTTTCTTTTAAAAATGTCCTGTAAATTTGCAGATTTGCACTTTTATAATTTCAAGTGTTTTTTTTTGCCACAGGAAAGTCAGATTTAACTTTGTTTTATAGGATACTTTTTAAGATAGAGGAAGGACTAGCATGCCAAGAATTTCAACAGTGACTTAGCCACAGACCTATGGCCTTGATCACATTTCAAAATCACTTCCACTCCTCAGAGATTTGTGTATGTCCGTACACAAGATTAACATAGCTTGGCAAAGCTTATCTTCTCACCACAAATAACACTATCCTCTCCCAGTGACACCCAACCGCTGGCACAGTTCAAGCACAGAGGTGTTCCCACCACTGACTCCTTGCTACCAGGCTTGTAGGTGGTGTAGCTCCAGGGCAAGAGAGCAGCCCCCAGGAGGGAGATGCCCAAGGGCTGGGCTCTGTATGGGAGAGAATGAGTGTGCAAACGTTCACAGTTGACCAGACAAAATCCCATTCCTTCACTCACATCTGTCACACACCAGCTGCAGTAAGCCCCTGATCAACCACATAAAGGTGTGTGACTACAAGCTTGGGATAGCTACAAAGTCTGTGCCAGGTTTTGTGCTGACAAAAATCTCTTGCCCTGGACAACTCTGCAAACAGTTAATTGTACACATGTACCAGCAAGCTACCCCCAGAAAAAAGGTCTGGCAGCAAACTGTTTCACAGTTTGCATATTGGCTGTCTTCACCTCATTCCTACCTCCACAAATTCAACATTTTACTATCTGAAGAAAATTCCCGTCAGTAATTTTAGATCTGAAGGATTTGTGAGCCCCTGGGTTTAACGTATGTGGTAACACATAATATACTTCTAAAGTAATGGCCTCAGCAGCCAGCCCCTGGGAGGGGGCAGAACATCCCCCAGAAAGAACAGGATACTGCTACGTAACTAAAGATTGTTTTGAAACACAAAGGGGCTAAATTAAGACTGTACAGCAGCCTTAATTCCAGTGATATGTTCTTCACTTATGAGCAGCTCCACAATGTTTATGCGCTTCCCCCTCTCCCCAGCCCCCCCAATATGTAATCACTGACTTCTGTCAGCTTTCACTACTTCTAGGCTAACAGGTAGGATAAATGAGACATACAGGCAAATACATCTGATAGATGATCCCATCTAAGTGAATTTAAGGGATATACAGCTGGTGTGATCTGTTTCATGCTGGTTGTTCCACGTTTCAATGGACTGATTCCAGTTTTTCTCTTTTATGGAATTATGGTGTTTTGTGGGCTGGTTTGGACCCAGAAGAAAGAGCTGGGGGCATTTACTGTAAGGCTGGAGTCTGAATATGAGTCACAAACATTTATGGCCACCTATGGTTCTCCCCCCACCTTTCCCTTCTATATCAAGTTTAAAAAGACTGTGTAAGGGCTTAGGCAGTTCTTTTTACCACAGCTTTCCAGGTTATTCAGTCTCTGGAGAAAAACATCAGATATGAGAAGAAGAAAGATCCATGATCTCAGGGGTCACTGTGTGAAACACAGCAGCCCTCAGGATTTTGGGGACCCCACACAGTACTAACTGAAAACCATCTAAGGTTAAGCTGTACATTAAATTTAGAGCAGCAAAGTCAATGTGTATAGTAAACCCAGAACACCAAACACCAGATCTGCTTTGCATATGATTTATCCAGCTCTTTTCCCTTGGGCTCAGCAGCTCAAAACAATTTCCTGAAGACTTGGTGAGCAGTTGCTGTAAACATGTCAAAAAGCCATGTCCCATTAGCTTTCTATACAGGATACAAAGTTTGGTCAAACAGCACAGGAGACTTTAGATTATCCAAAATGGCCAGCCATTCATGTCTGGCTGATGACACACCCTTGCCTTTGGACTAAACAAATACATGTCAACCTAGTGGTATAAAAGCCTCAACTGTTATAAAACTCAAGCAGGATCAGTAAATGGGACTTAACCTTCTTCAGTAAATGGAATGAAGGTAAACAGTGTCTTATTACCCTTGTGGGCTATACATCAGAAGATTTGAACCAAGTTCAAAGAGTAACACTACACTGGCAGCTGTGTCACATCCCTTGTGACCCTGCTACTGAGATGTCACCTGGTACATGCCTGCCCCAAGAGATACTGAGGGATGCTCACCAAAAAACAGAGGTCAAAGTGTAAGCATTTTCACTGAAGCATCTGAATTAAACACCTGTATAGCGTCTCCCATTTTGAAATAATGTGCAGCTGTAACAGACTTTCCTAGCAAAATAAGAGTGGTTTTATTTCTAAGTGTTCATATCTACATGCTTTAACTCATGTGCTTCTGTTACACGTATTAAGTTTAGTTTTGTTTTCCTGCTTGTCCATTACATTCCTGTACATAAGGGACTGAGGCTCTGCAGGCTTTCTAAGAGCATGAGCTTGATGTGTGATTAATAGATTATTAGTAAAAAAAAAAATCTCTTAATCTCCAAGATTACATGTTATTTGCAGTGTCCCTGGTTCAGCTGAGGCAACTGTGACTTCCTGCTATCCACAACCAGAGATCTACTTGGTTCCTATTCTCACTGCCCAGACATAAAAGAATATTTTAAGCAAAAAGTGCTTAGAATGAAAAAAAAAAAAAAAAAAAAAAAAAAAAGGTTTTTCAGAGGCTGAAAAACATCTGCAAATTCACTAAATAACTTCACCTGTGGGGAAAAAAACAGAATGATATTTAAAAAAAGTTGGAGGAAGAGCCACTTTTCTAACCAGTAACTATCAGTGGTTTGAGTATTCAAACACGTTTTTCAGGAGATAAGGTTTAATTCCTCCTCCTATCTGAGTGGATACAAGCCATAACTTTCCCAAGAATGACCTAATCTCAGATTTACAGAATGTTCTTGTTGGCAGTATTTTACCTTGAATGCCCAGACACTCACTGAAGCCTGAGAGCCAGGTGTCTCACCTAACACAGGAGTGTCGGATCCACAGGGCCACTGGGCAGCTCAAAAAGGGGTGCCAGTGCTAGAATTACTTTATTTTGCATTACACATTTACATACTCAAAGAAGGATGCCTGAGTTGGGGTGATCTCCAGTGAGCCACAATCCTGTTCTCCCAAGCACAGGAGGAAATTACACACTGGTCTCTTACATCCTCAGGGAGCGCTCGAACCACTGAGCTGCTCCTCTAGCACTTTTCAGAGGATCTAAACTTTTCTTTCCCTTGTGCTCCTTACAAGTAACCTGAATGTTTTAATCTGGGCTAAATGAAAGTTTTTTTGTTCACTATGAATTCAAATGTTGCACTGAGAAAAATAAAAATATTCAAATTCAGTTTAGATGGACAAGAAGACTTCTTTTAATTCAGCAAAGGGAAAAAACCCCACCAAATCAACCTACTGATTACTCTCATAGCCTTAAGATAAGTTTACCTGGTTCCTGAAAATGTAAATATGGGCCCCACTTAGCTGGAAGTTACCCCTGATAAAGCCCTCAGTAACCTGGTCTGACCTCATATCTGATCACTTTAAAACAGGCTGCCAGAGACCTTCTGAGGTACTGGGAAACCTGATTTATCCCATGACCCTTACAAGTATCAGGATTTTCAAAGGTCATTTGGTACCACCTACATTCAACTGTACATCTGCAAGTCTGGGGTTCCTATCCTCCCCTGTACTTTTGAATGTCTCCATGAGCACTAGCTACACAAAACAAATGAATGTGCTTGGTTTCTCAAGCTGCTTGTGAGGTTTCACAATATACCCACCAAGTCTGCTCTAAGTGCACAAGCACTTGTCAGCTGGACACAACCACTGAGCTCTGAGCACCTGACATGGGAAGTCGGTTATTTCCAATTGATCCAAGGATGACTTTGCTAAGGCCTCACAATTGTGGTAGAGACAGAAATAGGAGTCAGAAGTCCACAAGCAGCCCCAGTACTAGCACTAGCATTTCAATTCTATGATTAGAACAAACTAAAAAATTAAACAGTTATTTTAAAAGCTAGTGGTGGCAAAATCTCAGGAACTGTTTCTTATATGGGGAAGCTCATTGAAACCCTAGCAGGTTGAACCAGGGTGTGTGTGGGAAGTGCCCATCAGTGTTCATTTTAGCTGGTGCTGTGATAGAGACCAAAACTAAGGCTGGTAGGCTGAAAAACATGTTTGAACAGTGTTATTTAACAGTTTTAGCCCTACAAAGTTACAGGCAACAGCAAAATTTGGTTGCACACTCCTTCAGTGGGTGAAAGGCCAGAAAAATGCTTGGGATAAGTATTGCATTCTATTTGTTATATTTGTATTGCATATATACTGGAAGCTGCATAGTGGGTTTAGCCTCAACAGGACAAGATAGCACAGCCAGGAAAGCAGAGCAAATTTGCCAGTGCTTAGGAGACAGCTCAGAGGACGTTGCTGTTGAGTGCTATCCCCACATCCACCAGTGACCTCCCCCAAGGACCATTGTGTCACATGCCACTTGGCCAAGCCTGTAGAGCTCTGCCAACTGCCACAGGGCAAGAAAAAGGTGTGGGCCTCTTCAGCAGAGAACTCCCCTAAATGAACCTGAGGTTCAGAGAGGATTCTGATGTAAAAGTGGCCCTAGGCTGTTATTCCATCGTTTAAACTACTTCAAGACATCAAATTTCTTTAACTGGGTTTCCCAATGGATGGTTAGCCAGCAACAGGCAGAAGCCTGGCCATTTCTCAGGAGCTCCACCACAGGCTGGGCAGCACTTTAGAAGATCAAAGTCTTACTGAAACTCTAGCTCGCTCAAAGCCCCACACTGCCAAGACTTCACAGCCCTGAAGTGACTGTTGTTTATTTCCCTCCATGGGAATCATCTGTGGCACCACACTAAATGTCTTCGACCGTACTAAATACCATCTCCTCACTCAATAGCCTGCAACTTGCCTCTTTGCTGTTAGGAGCTATTATACTGTGTTAACCAGAGAAAGTAAGGACAGGAGGAAGGTCCTCCCCCTCCTTCCTTCACTGGAAGATGTTTACTTGCACTAGTTTATGTTTAAAAAAAGGGGCTTTGAAATCATGCAAATGAGTACTTAGCTTTGTCACCAGAAAATGGCAAGGCAGCCCTAGGTAATGGCATCCATCCATCAAGACAAAGGGGGACATTCAGGCTAGAGAGGACAATACTCTCCCTTCTAGCCTCAGACTAGCACAGACAACCTCAGGCTCGTCACAAATCCTTTTCCTAACACCCTCTCTGAAATTGCACCACCCTGTGGTCGTTTGACTTTAGGAACTTTCATCTTGTGCCCTACTCTGAACTGTCTTTGACCTCTGCCCTGTTAGTCCAAACTAACTAGGAGGAGAGTAAACAGAAAGGAGAGACTTTGTGATGGTAAGGGATAAAGAAGTCTGAGAGATAAAACCGACAGCAAGTTAGATTCTCTTTCTTTAATCATGTTTAGTACAACAGCTCTAAAGGAACTCTGAAGATGATTCTTCAAAGCACTGAAAAAAGTTCCTATGGAAACATCTGCAGAAAATGAGATGCCATACAAAACTAGGGATGACATGACACGTGACAGTAGTGAAGAAAGCACAGAAGCGTAACAGCAGAGACAAGGAATCAGCAGAAGGCCAGGGCTGCCCATCCTACACAATCAAAAGATATAAATGCAGTTCCATTGAAATGATGAGATTGTCCAAAAAGTATATAGGCTTTGGGGCACTATCTTTAAACAGATTTCGGTTCACACACATACGTTCTTCAAACCTTTGGTATTAAGATACCAAGTGTGTCCAGGCTGCAGGATAGAACTTTGATTTGCTTTTTAAGCAAAATTTGAATACTGCTTTTAATCACTTGTGGAAATAGATGAAGCTCTCATTTAAATTAAAGGATACAGCACAGAAGATGCTGCAACAGGAGACATGGGGATTCAATCTGTATCAGTGGGGAAAGAAGCTAATGTCCCTCAGTTGGTGTTAATAGGGAAAGGAACTAATGTCCCTTCCCCTATCCCAGTGAGAGGGTGTTCTGGTAAGGACTTGAGAAACACACCAAACCTTCTGAAGGGGGTTAAAGTACCTAAAGCAGAAAATGGAAGCTGACAGAGTGGAAAGGGCATCTTAAAGGAAAGTGATGAAGGTAAGTGATAACAGCTTTGGTAGTGCTGTTTGAGACTACTATGAAATAACTGATGCAAAAGCCAAACACATTACATCACATAAGAGACAGCAAGAGTAGCCTTAGTTGCAAAGAAAGAGTATGGAAGAGTCAGAGGACAAAGAAGGACTTGCAGCAGCCTGAACATATGGAAGAGTCCTCCCAGATTCTTCATCAAAATCTTTATGTAGTACCTCTAAATTCATCAGAATCTCTCCTCTCTGTTATCATTTTAACTATATCCTTTCTGAACTCATTTGCCAGAATGCCTTGTTTTTTAACTCCTATACATCCTGTGAAGCTGGACCTGCTTTCAATGGTTCCATACTCACAGCCTGGGATAAGCTACTCCTTGCCACAAAGTGACACAAAATCCTCAACAAATCCTTCTCAACTATGTCATTTACCCCACAGCCACACCTTGTACATGAAGATTCCTACTATGAATCACTCCTCTGAACTTCACTGAGTTCTCTGGAAAGGACCTTGTCTCTCTACTTGACATCATCAGTTATCTTTCTCAGTCATGCACTGATGTCTGGGTCAATGAGGCTGCTGCACCACCACTACCTCAAGAACTTGAATAAAGAGGATGGGTAACAGACTCAAGGGTGAGGCTCTGTGAGGTCATCTGTGTTTTCTTCTACAACATACTGTTATCAGAGAGAAGACACTAATCTGTATGCAACTAAATTTAACTTGAAAAAGCAAAATCCAGGGCCCAGCTGTCTGAAGTTCTCTCTATAGACGTGAATTGTACAGCATTCTCAACACCACAAATGAAAAATCATGAACAAGTCCTCAGAGTCACAGCATCAGCTTTAAAACAATGAGATAGAGAACATTGGGTTTTTTTTATTTGCCCTCTGCTATCACTCCCCCCCCCTCCCCCTCCAATCAGGGCAAGGACTTAAAAAAAAAAAAAAAAAAAAGGACTAGCTTAGGCTTTTATGAAGTAACAGGCAGAAATGTTTAGTCTAGATCTCTGACAACATCACAAAACCCCCTTATATCTTAGGATGACAAATTTGATTCTTCCTGAAAGTCGTTGTCTTAAACTGGCTGTGGTAAAACAGAGTCACTCAGAGCTTAGAAACTGGTCAGGACTAACTACTGAGACAAGCAGAGCAGCTCTGAGCACATTCTGCTTTGTGCCAAAGGCTGGGAGGAACTGCCCAGGCTCTACACGGGAAACCCACAGCCTGGGTAGCCTTGTCTCATGAGCCTCCACTGCCATCGTCTGGTACAAGCAGTACCTGGTAGTACAACATACCAAATGTAGTTCCCAGCTAGGACTTGTGCAAAAAAGCAGGGCAGAAAGATGTACTGAGTCACAGAAAGGTGACACCCCCGTGCACTCCCCTGAAAAACATGCTCTCTCTCTCTCTGAGCTCGTTTAGGGGCTTAATGTTCTGAAGTCAATGTACCTTCAATAACCATCAGAGAAGTTAAAAGAATGCTCCACCTGCATGCATAAGGAAAATTCTCAATCTAAAAAAGTACTTGAAATTGGAGAGCTGACAGATTCAACATATATCAGGAAACCCATGAGGGTTTTTTTTTGATATTTGACAAACATCTCTCCAAGTGCTCTCCCTCCATCGTTTTTATAATACTGGGTCACACAGTAAGAGGCATCAGGGCAAGTTATCAATGGTTTTGGGGACATGCACTGACAGCAATTAATACCATGTGCCTTAAGTAACATTGCATCTAAATACATTTTACTGTTTCCATTCCTCCCCCTTCTGCTTATTTCCATAATTCCTTCATGGCTTTGCATTACTCATTTGCTGAAACGCGAGTCAACTGAATTGTTTCATTTATCCAGCTATTGGACTTTCACCTAAACAAGCAGGTCCTCATCTAATAAAGGTAGTAATAAGAAGGAATAATTTATAAATACATCCTCAAGTAATCAAGGAGGAATAATTTATAAATACATCCTCAAAAAAATTCAACAGCCAATGTTAAGAGTTTTTCAAAAAAACTCCTCCTTCTGTCCTGGTTTGGGCTGAAATAGAGTTAATATTCCTTTTTGGGAACTAGAATAGTGCTGTATTTTGGATTTAGCATTGGGTTTGGTATGAGAAGAATGCTGATAGCACACTGATGTTTTCAGCTGCTACTGAGATTTCAAGGACTCTCCAACTCCATGTCCTGCCCGTGCGCAAGGGCACAGAGAGCAGGGAAGGAACACAGAGAGAACACCAGACCCAAATTGGCCAATGGAATATTCCATATCATGGAACATCATGCTCACTATATAGAGGAGGGGTGGTCAGGAAGGGGCTCTCTCTCAATCTCTCGCTTCTGGAATTGTGACCTCGGGATCTTGGTATTTCAGGATTGCTAACCGGGAACAGGCTGAGTATTGGTCAGCGGGTGGTAAGCAATTGTATTGTGCATTGCCTGTTTATATTTTCTATTACTGTCATTGTTCCCATTTTATTGCCATTATTAAACTGTTTCTATCTCAACCTGTGAGTCTCCCTTTACCCCTCCAATTCCCTCCCCCATTCCCAGGTTGGGGGTGGAGAAGGGTGGGTGATTGACTGTGGGGTGGTTGGCTGCCAACCAGGCTCAAACCACAACACCTTGTGACAGCAAAAGCTCATTTCAACGCATAATTTACCTCAGATCTCTCAGAGAGCACTAGGCTTGGGAAAGTACAAGTAGTGCAGCACCATGAAGTTCAGACTCCAAAAGCTGTGTAACTTAGTAGGGATATGTATCAAGCTAATTGTTACTGTGTCTAATTAGAGATCATTACTGCACTGACAAATAATTTCTAGGGCTAGGTTCATGGGTGCTTACCTATTGCATAATATAGACAAGCTACCTGAAGCCCCATAGGGCTGGAGAAGCATCTGATAGTACAGGCCCTCATTGCCATTCCTCTCCCACCTGTGAAGCAGCCCTGCGAGCAGGGAACTCTTACCAATGGTTGTTATTGCAGAGATGGAGAAGAAGAAAGATCCACTGAAGTCCCATCTGCCCAGGCTAGTACTGTTTCCCTGGAGCGTTATGCCACTCTTGTAGGCTTGGATGATACCCTGTAAAGAGACAATAACATGAGATCTCACAAATCCCCTTATGGCAAGTTTATGCGACTGGCATTTCCAGTGGTGGCTGGTAAAGCCACAGAGTACAACTACTTCTGACTCTGTTATATCCCTTTTAATAGAGGATATCCTGTGCCTTAGAAACCAAAGAGCTGAGAGGTCAGGAAAAAAACAAAAGCCAGCATATCAGTTTTATGGAAGGGACATCTACAGACTAAAAGAAAGTTGCACATGGTAGATCATACAGGTAAACGTGGAAGAGATTGGAGAGCAAGAACTACCTAGAGAAAGCCTAGCTATATAGTTATTAAAATTGCCTTACGACACGTTCATTAGGAAAATAAAGTGTTTCTAGATGGGATATTCTGATGGCACAAGTCCCAGAGCATCAAATATACATACACATCTAAATGATACAGATCCCTTGACTATACTGGGAAGGAATGTATACTGTGTGATGTAGGAGAGACTACACAGGATGACCAGTCTACTAGCATTGAGCAATATGTCCCCGCATCAGGACTATAAATATGAATAAATGGGTTAAATTAGCATGATGCCCAATTCTGTTCAATCCACCCGGGAAAGACTCAGAAGTCACTCTGCAGAAGTGTGCAGTTATGCCAAAATAAGATATCAGGTGTCTTAACAGTGCCCACATCTGACTATACCTTCTCATGCCAATAAAGTTAATGACATTCAACTGAGTTGTGTCCAAAACAACATTAATCACAGCATGTATACTAAACATTTCACACCCACTGACCAAGCATCATTGAGAGCTGATTATCCTTGAATGCAAAGTGTAGCCAATAATACATAAAATTCACCACCTCTGGGAAAAACCTGCAGATACCAAGTAATGCTGTCCCTATCCTAACAATAAGGCTGCTGATAAAGCTTTCACCATCACTAAAGGGAATCACTCAGGTTAAATTTGCATCAGTTATGGGTTTTACAAAGAAGTTGTAGCAACCAACACTTCAAGCCTGCAAAGTAAGGAAGCTTTGTCCCACTTTACTGACGCAACATGATGTAAGTGATTTCTATAATATTACACAGGTCTGTGAATTAAAAACTGCTTCCAGAGACCCAAGCAGTAGCTTAACTACAAGGACCACTATTTCTTTTCTTCAGAGCTACTAGTTCTCACAGGAAAAGCAAGGAACAGCTCAGATATCAACACATTTTTTCAAGAAACACTGTTTGATAGTCACAGTCTCAGATATTTTCATTTACTCATAACTCAAGGCAATGTAAACCATTCAGGGTCACATTATAATCTGCTGAGGTCTGGCAACATGCTCTTCTCTGTATAAGACAGAACAAAGCCCTTGCTCTGAAAAGGGCTAAGGACCAGATGCTTTATTACATTATGCTTCCTTCTGTGAGTTGTTGCCATAAATTGAGTGGGGCAACTCACAGAAGTAATTAGTATGCAGCATAAGTGACATGAAATAAGCACACCACCTCCTCCACCACACCAACCCTCCCCTCCCCTCCCCCCCCCCCCCCCCCCCACCAATAGAGAGAAAAGGTTGTATCAGGAAGCCTTCAGCAGGATTTGTTTTGAAAAGTTGTAACCAAACCCCTCCCCCCCCCCCCCCCCCCCCCTTGTTCCAGGGCTGGTATCTGCACCAAGGTTTGTCAGGCTGCATGGGATGCAGGCTCTGACCTTCCTCTGTTCTTGATCTATGACAGTACTTGACCTCAGGTTTAAGTAGTGTAAGAATTTCTGCAGAAAAACAGCCTAGTCAGGAATCACAGTCCCCATGAACATAAAATAACCCTCAAACTAAACCATCTAGCAAGGGAGACACTGGAAATTTATACAGATGATCTGTGTTTTTCCCTTCCTTCAGAAGCTAGTGGTTAAATTAAAAAAAAAAAAAAAGCTTGTTATTTCAAATTTTCCTTCTATAGCCTGTGATCTCTGCAGTTCTAAGTCTTGAACACATATATACCTGCTAGAACAGCAACAGTTCATCTCAAATTTACTATCAGACTCAAAAAACCCTACACATGCAGCATGTTTGCTGTCCATTTTCCTGCCTGATATCCTGCTGACACAAGCTCAACACTTGACAACATTACACACAACATCAAATTTTTAAAGCTAGAAACACTTAAGAACCAGAGAAGACTGTAAGAAACTGTAGCTGAACCAGCTCAAAGAAATAGAAATTTCTTCATGCAAAAAGGGGAAATAAGCAGCCTGCGCTAGACATCATGTGATATGAAAGCAACAGTAACCAAGTCATTAGATGTTTAATTTCATATAACTGCACCACTTCTGCTTTGTATGGCTTAGGACCAAGAGACAGAGCAGTTGTGAGCACCCATGCTAGCTGTGCAGTGATTTATAACAGCACAGGTCTCTGTCATTGTTTTAACTTTCCCTGAGGTGATGCTACTGCCCAGAAGTACAGCATTTGTCTTAAGAGTCTGCAGACTGGCTGGAGCATTTGCACTAAACAGCATCATCTCCCGCACTCATCTCAGTGGGAAGGTACCGTGTAACTATTACTCACTGGCAAAGAGCAAGCACGAGGCTTTGAGCATGTTTCCTGTTCCTGGGGTGGAGGCACTTCGCATGTTTGGGATAGGACTTCAAGAGCCTTCAGCAGTAAGCCTCTGGCTAAGCATTTCCTTGTTAAATCTTGTCATCAAACAGCCAGATAACATCATTAAGCATTAGGCCTACAGCCCTGATACAGCCCCAGTGTGGGGACCATTGAATACTCACACAAATCAAAGGCACTAGAATAGAGAGAGACTTCCAGGAGAAACTTCAAGTTCATTACTATTAGGAACAAAGAGCCAATGATTCCACCCTTAAAGGGGAGGATTCATAGTCAGTGAAGATAAGGACACCAGCTTTTTTTTTTTTTAAGCAAAAAAGTTTTATTATGTCTAGAATCAACTTTGACACACAACAATAGAAAATTAAAGATTGATTCTTCTGAGAACAGTAGAACTAATGGAGCTTGCCTTCCTGCAGATGTGCCCACAGAGGTGGATTCATGAAAGAGAAATCCATAGATAGCCATTAATACACAGAAATTACTTCTGTCACAGGAAGTCATTGGATTGCAAACTCCTGAAGGCTGAGGGTACATTCAGGAAGATATCAGTGTATACTTGCCCTAGCTTACTATGTTCCTCTAGACTTCTGCTTTTGGTTAGTGCTCTTTTTCATAGACAAAATGAAAGTAGTTTATCATTTTTGACAGAACACAGCTAATAAACACTCTAACAGAACAGCTGAATTCTCTGTTTTTCCCCATTCAGCAGGAACTGATGTCTCTGGTGATGATTTTTAAAAAAAAATTCGAAGTATATTTTGGCCTCTGGGTTGAAGATTTACTACAGCGAAACCAAATCCTACACATTAGGTCACATCTGCTTGGTTCCCTTAGCCTGCATTTGAGAAGCAGAGACTTCTTTGTTTTTCTTTACACTGATTTTGAGGCGAAATCCTAGGGGTTTTCATTTTTCTCTTAATTAGGCTAGTAATTTATACAGTGTCTGCTACAAAACCTAATTAATTAGAAGCCACCTAGTAGAAGTAGTGTCTCAAACCCAGTGTTCAAAAGCAGGTATCTGACTGATCTAAGACCCCAGTCAATACCACCAACCGCTCAAACACAACAAATCTTGAAATTGCAGAGTTTGGGCTTGAAATTTTGGGAACTTGAAAGGTCACATGTGTAACTCAAAGGACAGGAAGGAAACAGGTGGGTGGTTAAAATAATCAGAAACAGAACTCAGTTCCACTTTGTTTTCTACTGACAGACAAGCAACACAACAAAAAAGTAACCACTTCTCTGCACTTAAGTTCTGTGCCCCCACCGTAATGATAATTTACATTTCACAGTAACTACTACATCTTTAGCTGACAATGCTTACACCATCTTAAACTGCAGATAAAAGTTTCTACGGAAAGCACTGTAACTGCTACAGGGTTTATAAATTAGGATATTTTAGATTCTTGGGCCTTCATGAGTTAAAACTTTATTCGCAGGCTGCCTCATTTTCTTATCCAGTAAGCTGGTCTGTTTCTTGACAACACCATGCAAAGCCTACTTGCATGGTCAAATATTGTCATAGATGGTGATTAAAAAAAACACCGTAACTTCCATTCAGAGTAGCCTATTTAAACGTAGGTGTCTGCCCTGTTACCTTTGTGATAAAACATGCCTCAGAATACCCAAATTTGGCCTCCAGCTCCATTTTGCTCAACCATAAACTCCGAAATTTCAGTTAGGAACATAAGCTAATGCTTGCAAATGCACACTTTGTGTTAGATCATTATATCCCAGTACAAATCAAAGCCTAGTTTTGTGCATCCCTCTGCACTGAATTCCCCTCAAATTCAAGCTCACTGGTAACTCCTTGAGGAGGCTGTGGATTTCTGCTGACTCCCTTACCTAACATATTTCTGACTTATCAAATTTATTTTAGGATGGCCATACCCTTTCTTTCCTTCTAGTATCAATAAGAATAATCCTTGCTGGTTCTTCTTGCAGGAGCATCTAAACACAACATTGTCCTAGCTTCCTTACTAGAGTTAGAAAAAATTAAAAACAAAACAGAAACAAAATCACTGTTTCAGCCTGAGTACCTTTTAGCCCTTCACAGCTCTGGGGTGGTTCTTCCACAAATGACTGTTAACAAGTGCCTCATCTATCCTGGAAAAGTCTAACCAATCTACACAGCTTTGCACCAACAAACCCAGTGTAGTTAGTCATACTAGCAAAAACTAAACCACATGGTTGAATTGCACTCTCAAAAGATCTCGTGTTCATATGATCTAGTTTTAAAAGAAAAAAACAAAACCAAAAATCAAAAAGTGAAGTTGCTGGTTCTACCATGGCACCCACTTAAGCAGCCAGAAACTTAATGCAGATTTAGCCTACAGAGTTCAGCTCCCTCTTGACATTTGAGAGTTACATCTTTTTCTTCCCTGACAAATGTAGGTTTATTCTTCT